CAGCGAATCCCTTCCGTTACAAGCCACAAACACCTTGGCCGGAGGTATCTACTGACTTTCACTTTCATCAGCACGTTGAAGATACCATCTCCAGAATCAGTAAAGCCCTTGGGCCACTCCATCCACTATCGCGACTTCTGCCTCGGCATGTTCTCAACAACATATGCACGGATTACAATCTTTCTATGTTTGGCTATTGCTACGTGGTATATGACGTTACATCGAAACTATTATCGTACAAAACGTAATATTGCAACCACTTCATCGTACATTTCAGCGCTGGGTTCGCACGCGATCTTTTCCTTGCACTTTTATCGTTGAATCGTCGTTTGTTCCGTAAATAAGAGCTCTTCCACCTGGGTCAGCAGTTCACCCTCACCGACCCGAAGCGGTTGAAGTTCTGTTCCCCTCCAGCCCACAATACAGCTGCCCTCCCCATGTGGGGCACCTATGAGCCCGCAGGCCTACAAACCATGGGCTGACCGGCCCATGCAGCTCACTCCAAGATCGGTGTCGTTTGTGAGATGCATCCAATGTCAGGCTGGAAGTCGTCACGCAACGACGACACAGTCAAAGCATCTCAATGGTCGCCAGCTATCGCGGCGCTCGTGACGTCTCTCAAAAAGTCATTTAGGAGACATGTCGATACACTTTTACTTGGATCGACTGATCTAGAGGCCGTCTGCCACCCAGACGTCGAACGGTTTTAGCAGCCCCGCACCCGTCTGGGTCGCATAGGAGAAGCGACGCGCCTAGGTACTTTGGTTTTGATTCCACTGGATTCACAAGGCATTACTTAGGTAGGACGTGTTCATCTCGCCACGCTGTGCATGCTGCACCTGCCCACATGAGGTCCAGGGAGCCAGGTCAGAGACAGCGCTGAAAAACCGCACCTGGCTGGACAACATGCATTGCATTGTTTTATTATCAGTGCAGTAAGACTAGACATGGGGCATAAATGGAGGGACTAGCTTTTGGAAACTTCTTAGATGGTCGTAAAGCCCTTTTAGTGACCAGTTCTCATGGTACACATTGCACCCGCCACGTAGCTTCAACTTTTCGTTTCAGAGGCGGTCCGGGTCTCCCAACAAACCCTGCTCCTTTCGAAGCAGCGCAGCTACATCATACGCCTGTCACCTGTGCGTCCGGGTGTCAGCACTGACCAGCCTGGGCATTGTTCGCGTCTGCAGCTCGGATGGTCGCTTCAGCCAGCTTGTCTCGTGCAGCGCTGGCTGAGCCGGTGAGACCTGTTTGGCAGCCCCGATGCCACCGGGACGCTGCTGTGGGGCTTCGGCCTCAGCTCCGGTTACCGGGTGTGCGGGTCTCCTTCCGTGCCAACGTTCGCAGGGTGTGGGCAGACAGGTCATGTGACGCGGTGTGAGACGCGCGCGGTGGAACGCTTTCACCAGGTGTGTGACCCCCCCCCCCCCCCTGTCAGCACTCGCAAGGCGTGGGCGGACTGGTCATGTGACGCGGTGTGAGACGCGCGCGGTGGAACGCTTTCACCGGGTGTGTGATCCCCTCCCCCCCCCCCTGTCAACGCTCGCAGGACGTGGCCAGACAGGTCATGTGACGCGGTGTGAGACGCGCGCGGTGGAACACTACCAGTGATCTTGAGGGCTTGCTGTTTGCCGTCTAGATTGCTGGATGCATACGCCGAACGAGGGCACGAGAATGGGATGAACATAGCCTACCAGGTGTTCCACAGCACAACACCGCGGCGATATCACTGCGGACCGGATCGTCGTATGTCACTGTAGCTAGCAAGATATAGAGTGCATGCGTGGTATGCATTGTTATATTTTGAGCATATGTTTGGAAATATGCGGTGTATATGTTGTTGAATACGGTGTGTACATGTTGAAGATGTGGTATATAGGTTGGTGAATGTGTTGTGTTTATGTTGGTGAATATGTTGTGCACATGTGAAGTAATATGGATTACTGCATGCATTTTAATAAGCCGGAAGTTCTGCAACCACTTTTAATTGGCAGACCTACCACATTGTACAAAGTGACGCTTGAGAGAGAACGGCATGTTCCGAGTGCCACCTTCCACAAGTGAGGTGGAAACGTATGTGACCGCCTTCGGTCGCATACCTTTCCTATGTATGTGACTCGATTTCGCACAGCCATCAGATTTCGCGTCAGAGATCGTCAAACATGTCACTCTTCGGCCGAGTTCCCTGACAGAAGCCAGAGGAACAATCTGAAACATGCCTAATGAGGCTGAAGCAATCCAAACATAGGCAGACCTTATTCAGTTGCTTTTCGACATGACCTGCTGGCCTCCCGGTGGGCTACCAATGCTGCCATCTTACATCGATGAGCGACGGTCATTTACCGTCACAGAGTGTTTTGGAGCCCAAGCAGTAGGTGGTTGAGGGCAATGGCGAAAACCACGCCGGCTAAAAGTTACCATGTTTTGTTGTATTGTGTGCGCAACAGGCGGAGGAATCAGGGATGGATATCAATTTGGACTGACACGCAACAACATTTGGATTGCTGACCAACGCAGGCACTCCTCGATCGTCCCAAAATATCAGGAACTTTGGCTGTGCCAGCCATTATAACACTGTGACAATGTCAGGATACCAGGACGCATATCAGGCCGCTCTTGGCTCCGACCAGGAGTGCCGTGCCACCGTGAACCAGTGAACAGTGCACCGTGTGCCGTGCAAGGTTTGAGTTAAAAAAAGGATAGCGACGCGTACAATTGCGTATCCTATGGTGGAACGTCAATGATAACCAGCGATCGTCGTAGTTCCGAAGGTCCTTGACACGCACGCGGTAGGCCAGTCGAATGCCCTTTGCTCGTGTGGGGAGTCAATTTGACCCCTGATATGTCAATAATTAAGAGAGCTTAAGACACCAAAGTCACAGGGCGGGTTGGTCTGTATGCGAAATAACTGATGTGAAAGTTTCAGGTCCATAGACCATAAACATTTTTGTTAAAGAGGTGAAACAGGGTCAAACTCAAGATTGAAGTCCAAGGTGCCCCAAGGTCTCCTCATGCAACCGCCTTGAACCATATATATATATATATATATATATATATATATATATATATATATATATATAGATAGATAGATATAGATAGATAGATATATATATATATATATATATATATATATATATATATATATATATTTATATATACATATATACATATGCATATACGTATTGTTCTGATCAATGGTTTCTGGTGTTTATTTCAGGTCAGTGATCTCGTCTGACCTTCCAAGTTCTTCAGTAAAAAACAGTTTGGCTTTCACCGTGGTCTGACCTTCATACCTCACCCAAGGTCAATTAAAATTGTCTACATTATTACTTCAAATGTCTCTTTGTATAAGTGATGGATTGTCTTGTCTACCACTCCGCTTTCGCATCAGATTAAAGCATTTCCTAGAAATTTCCTTTGCTGACAGCCATGGCATTACTTTGACCTACCATGGATCAGCGGCCTTGGAAGGTACACCGAATCTTTTATGCCAAAAAGATCGACCATTCAATTGCTTATATCTAAGGAAAGTTTGGTGCGGCTACGCCACCCGTCCGGAAATTATTCTGTAAAATCTCCGGTGGAGCGGGGGGGGGGGGGGAGGAGGAATTGTCCCCAACCCCAACCAAGCGCGAGCCCAGCCAGATGCGAACCGTGTGTACACGGTGTTTCAACGTAAATATCGAATGAGTGGTCGTGATGGAACGGTTTTCTGTGATCCCAGAGACCGTTCTACGCTGCAAGGGTCTTGAAATCTGAAATACGTCAATAGTCGTGGTTCACCAATGCTTAAGTGTAAGAAGCGTTCATCGGGGATTCACAGGAAACACATCGATAAATACTTACACAAGAGTCTGATTTTTTCAGTATGCCAATTCCGTTCGATGGTTCAGTTGGTGGGAGCGCCTGCCTTCCGATACACCCATCCTTACTGGGTAGGGTTCAAGTCGCTCAATGCACGCGCTACTTGCCCTTGACAGATACGGTCCGCGGCCGGTGTCGGCGACCGCGCTAAAGATCAGGCAATGGGACAGGACGGACCGTGCTGCCAATTGGTAAAGATCAGGCAATAAAGACTAAAGACAGGACGGACCGTGCTGACCACTACGATATCTTCATCTTTCGCCACCAAACTTTACCGTTGACCCGGAATTACGCCATCGGACGGTAAGGGTTAGGGCTCACACAACAAGGGCTGTTTAACGTGAGCAACCATGCCAGGGATCCGTCCATTTAAAAGCCATACATTGAATCTGTAAAAATCACACGGTCTTGACACCGGCTTTGTTAGCACTCAGCTCAATATCTGTCAACGACACCAGCTTCGAAGGTATTTTAGTGGCATATGCACCTAGACCCTGGTCCCGCTCTTCCAGTTGCTGGCGGTCCTTATCGGCCTATCAGGCGTGGGTATCAGTGCGGAACGTGTACACGCCACTGGCCTTCAGATAAGTGATTCATTCGAAGCAACGGATAATCGACGACGATAGCGTGGCTAGAGTACTGGCCAATTACATGTTTAGGAACGTTCGTCATCATGGAGCTTCCTCATCCTTGTGCGTGTAGCGATTCAGGCATAGCGCTAGCGCACTCACCCTAGGGCAGTGGAAATGGCACAGAAAGCACTGGGAAAGCACACTGATAAAATCACGGGCGGACAGCGCTAATGTCGCGTGAAGTAAGGTTGCTCGGGACAGGTGTTGATGGATTGACCCCGAGGTTCAAACGACTGAAGTGAAATCGTTTGGCCACCGAGCACCTCCTCGACTCTGCGACAGAACTCCGATATGCTAACGGATATCCGGCCAATGGACATTGGTACACGTCAGCCTCCACCCACCCCCCCAATCCAGGCTCCCTCGCGCTGGTCGTGCCAACCCGCTGCGCTCTTCCAGCCGCGCGTTATCGGTTGGCGACCAGGGGTCACTGGACCTCCGTCCCGGCGCTATCAGGTAGTCCCCGGCCCCAGCCGTCCCTATCGGGTGTCAGCTGATACTCACCACACGGCGACGAACCCTGCCGACGACCCTGCCGCGGCTGGGCTTCTGCTCACGCTGCTCGCGGCTCCTGGTGCCGTTCATGTCGCCCTGTCGTCCGGCTCCCGGTCCTGGTCCCGATCCTGCTGCTGCTGCTGAGCCTGAAGCTGCGGACCCTGTTCACTGTCGCTGCGGCTCCTGGTCCTGCTGCTCCTAGTCCCGAGCCGCTCCCTGGTCCCAGTCCCGCTGGTGCTGCGTCGGCGCTAGCTCCACCGCTGCTCCTGATCTCGGTGCAGGTCCCGCTCCTGGATTCGGTCCTGATTCGCCTCGACTCCTAACGCGTCGCCAGCGCACACTTGACCGTCGCCCACACCGCGCGCCACTGGCTGGTGTCCGACGGTCGGCCCCGAGAGCGATGCACTCCCGGTGCGCCACGATACGCCGCGAGCGCGTCACACTGGCCCCTCTGGCGTCACACCGGCCCCCCTGGTTCGACGGGCGGTCGGCGGTCAGACTGGGGACCGGCACCGCGTGGTGGGAGAGCCGGCCTGCCCAGAGCGACAGCTGGACACGCCGAGACTCGGGCCCGGCGACCCGCGCCGCCTGACAGATCGCAGACGTGTGTTTATAAACATGCTCTCGGGGAATGCGGCGGCCGTCGCACTCGGCGCGCGGCGGCAGTCGCAGATTTGTCCAGCCAGACGGGGTCACGTGGACTGCCAGCACCTCGCGGCGCCGCTCAGAGGAGCCGCGGTCGCGGACGTCACGGGCGGCGTGGGCGCCGGCCCGGCCACTGGCATCGGAGAATACGCGGCGCGCGCCGCACGGCCCGGCGAACGCCCGGCACGTGTCCCTCACGATGGTAAGCCGCACGCATGTGCGCACAGCTGGACCGGGCACGGACCGTCTTGTGCGCGCCCGTGTGGTGTTGGAGAGCACCGCTGCCGTGCCGGACCGCTGCATTACGGCGCGGTGCTCCACTAGGTCGGCATTTCCACAAATGTTCAGTGACCGACGGCCGGGGAGTTCACTGTCACGGGCCACGGCTACATTGTTTTCATAGCGAGCAAGCGCCGAGCAATATTTGCAATGTACAGCCGTGGTCGTGCTCTGTTCATAGGTTGGCGGTGGGACAAGAACTGGGTCTGCGCCAAGATTTTGGGAGCCATGTGAACCAGCGGCATGCATCTGCCGTTGACCGTGCTGAACAATCAAGCTGCAGCAGAATAACTTCCCGGCAAACAACTGGCCCGCTTAATAGCGTGCCAGCACCGTCGACGGCTCACCTCATGTCAAAATCAGACAGTAGACGATGCACCATAATTAGATGGACCCGTCAAACTGGATTCCACCTGCAAATAGCATAGGCCAACAGCTATGCTGCAAAGCCACTTCAACTTTGCAACGGCGTATTCTAGGCAAGTACAGAAAGGCCAGTCATGCATCGCAAGTATGTGGAAGGCAAGTGTAGCGCAAATATAACAGAGAATGTCTCGGAATTTTACGCAGCGCTCACACACTGTAAGCATCAGTCATTTTGCACGGACGTGACGATGAGACAAACCCGTGCCTGGCATCAGTCAAACAAGGTGCGCTTATCACAAACGCTGTGTTTTGAGTGGGGCATTCCACATGATTCGAGGGACCGTAGCCTTCTCCCCCCCCCCCCTCCCCAACGCCGACTGCTCTTAGATTGAAACAGGAAGGCTACAGGCGTTTTAATGAAAGGGATTGGATGGAATTTACGTGCGTTCCCTGAATAATTTTGAAAGATTTTGGGCTCTGACTTAGATCCGTGCAATGTTGATAAATGAAGCATGCAAGTTTATCGATAATTGTGCATTTTTAATTAAAACTACAGCTGATCTCCCGTTGATCACCTGTTTAAATGCCATCTTGCTCTCGTGTATCTGCATCTCGTAGTAGCGACCTGCATCTGGCGATGGTTTGGAGCTTTAAGGCGCATCGGCTGCAGTGGTCGTGCAGCAGCCTTCTGACGCATTGGCATCTTGTCTGCACCCGTGCTGTGGCGCGGCAGTCGTGACTGCACAGCATCTCCGGTGAAATATTCCTTAAAACCGGCTCTCTCAACAGCATGGCTCTCTCAACAGTGTGGCTCTGACAGGTGTCCCGGGCAGCAAACTCAGGAATACAGCAGGCTGCACAGAGCGGATTTGAAAGCAACGCGCCATATGTCCTGGAGGGCTGTTTGCGTTGCTGATGGAACCGGTTTTGGCGGTCGGGTTGGGCAGACCGAGCTCCTCACGCAGCGCAGATGTCACCCTGAGCATCCTTAGTGTTTGTTCCCTTCTGACAGCCCGACAGCGTGGCCCTCAGAAGCGCAGGTAGAGGGGGGGGGGGCACAGGGGCACGTGCCCCCTTTCTTAGATTCCGAGGGGCCCGAAAGGTCATTCGAGACTTACTATAAAGGGCGCGAAAGGCCGGCCGGATATCACATTCAGACACCCCGGCCGGAATGGCCGGGCATTCCAATGCCAGCCAGAGGGCCCTGTGCGCTGATCAGGGCCCCCATAAGCCGATAAGGGTTAAATGTTCCTCAGACACCGCCAGTGAAGCAAAGTCGGCTCTAGGGCGGGCGGCATGAGCTTGAGGGTTCATTTCCCAGACAGGGATAAACCCGGGGCTACCGATTTACATTGGTCGGTGCCCCAGAGTCTGTCAGGGCCCCACAGCGCCTAGCAGAGGGTCAAAACTCGTAAAGGGCCCTGAGTCGACCCAGGACAGTATTCAATGAGGCCGGAAGAGGGGTCTGGGCGGCCAAACGGAACCGCCGATCAAAAACCCGGTTGGAGGGCAAAAAGGCAGAAGGAATTGCTGTGTCACATAAAGAATCGCAGCCCGTGGGGTCGTAACCCGAAATATCAGTCAGCGGTCCTCTTGCACCGTTTGAGCGCCCCCTGACACAATGCGGGTGTGTTTCTTGGCCAGAGACCACGGACACCGAACAGTTGGCTCCTTATCAGTCTGCACCCTGAAGGCCCATTTTCCAAGCAAGAACGAGGATGGGCCCGTGATTCGCAATGCTCGAGGTCCCTGATATAATGGGGCGGTCCTGTATTATTCATGGGCCCACAGTGCCTATCCGGGTGTTCTGCGGCAAAATGGGCCTTGAATCGATCAGGGGAAGATTGGCTCGGCAGCGACGAGGACCGCACTCCGAATGAAAGAGGGCCTCTTGCGTTGGTTGGGGCCCTCTGACAATGAGAAGAAACGTAGTAACTTATGAACAGTGTTCACATGGAGGCAATGTTAGAGTTCTGTGCCAGTCAGGACCCCAGTACTGAACGGTAGGCCCTCCAATCCAATTTCAGCAAGGGCCCGTTAATCCGAACTGGAGCCTATGTGTTAATTATTGGACCACCTGCGGCGAGCAGCGGTGTTGTTGCGCCAATGAGAGTTTCCCCGTCGATCCGGGGTCAACTGCGCGGATCAGAGGACATCATGTTTTAAGGAGGGGACCGATGTGATATGATGTAGCCGCCTAAGGGCCTCCGGATGGGCCAGGGTCGGCCCCAGCCAGCGCCCCGTGTCGCTGAGTTAAGCAACGAACAGGGCCACTCCATGTCTGTCAGAAAACTTTTACTCTTTTGTAGGATCAACTAGTGAAACCCATCATATCAAAAGGCTTGGACCTGCGCGCCCGTAATCTCGGGAGCACGGACAACGATGGCCTGGGTTCCCCTAAAACCGAACGACATTGGCGGCTGTAAGTAACGTCAGGTGGTGGGCGTCGTGAGCGCCAGAACGACCGTCCTAAAATAATGGTGCTGAATGCCTTTCAGACTTAATTCGCACCCTCCAAAGATGAAATTGAGGGTATCTTTTCATGACTTTGAGGTTGCCCTCTGGATGGATCAATAGGTACACGAAAAATAGAGGTTCTACAATTACTTTTCCAGTTCCACCACCAGATTCCAGCACTACTTCGCGATGCTAGAGAGGCCCATCCGTTCTTATCAGTAATCTTAAACTCATACAGGTGAAATGTACATCCAGACGACCTTCTAAACGTACGATTTGTCGCCCTAAAGCGTTTAAAAATACTTTTCCACGTCAGTCATCATTTTCGTCCACCATTTGACCACAGCGTAGTGTTACCGCGGGCCCGATGCTGCATGGCCCATGGAGGCTGCAATGTCTGACATCAAAGTTTTTGTTGGTGAGAATTGCGAGCGCGCATGCCCAAAACTGCGTTACGCTATTTGTGCCATCTATCAATTCTGACTGAATGTCGAAAAAACCCAGCCAAACATGGCCTGGCCATGGCCAAATGATCTATTGATTCATTTCGATCTATATTCGTGGGGTCCTTAATATATATGTGCGGCTCAAATAAAGATTCTGAGCACCATCGACTTAGTAGATGTCCATTAGACCATAGTAAAATGAAGAGCGCAAGCGGTTTCCTTCATGCAGCCGCTTGTCGCATTATTTTTTTCAGTCTGTTGATAAGAGGCGATTCAGGCGGAATTGATCTCGCGTTATTTTTTTTTTCTTTGCGGTAGCACTCATTAACAAATGGGCTACATCCCACAATTTTTGTTTTGAAGCGAGGGGGCTTTTACTATCAGGGAACCCTTTGCCAACTCTGTGCCCTCCCCATGCCAAGCCTTTGGCTGCGAGCCTAGCATCCAATACTGCAATCCGCGAATCGACACAGGGAAGAGCTCTCGACGCCGATTATTTATACCCCCGCCGCCAAACGAAAGGCGTTCAAACGACGTGAAGAATCGTTCAGTTCTTCGCCATCAATCCGCGCTAAGTTCTGATTTCTTTCCATCTCGTGCGCCCGAACCGCGGCCATCAGTGTGAGGTTCACTCCCACCGTTACCGGAAAACTGAAATTCCCTTCACCGCCGCCTCCAACGACTGGGCGCGTAGACAGGCCCAGACGTCCGCCCGATGACTCCAACAATACCACGCCGTGCCAGTTACCGCAGCAGTGCCTGCATACTTGCATTGTGCAACGCAACTAGAATCAACGCCGGAGCACGCGAGCTCCTCAGCGCTCTCCTCGAGGCCGCCGACCAATCAGTCAAAGTTGGAACCATGTGGGAACAATAACGATCGCGTGCCATTGTTTCATCCGCTTACGCAAGTATTCGGTGTCCGACGCAAAGCGTGTATAAACAGAGGTGGCAGTGGCGCGCTGCCACGGACGTGGCCACCTGATGAGGCTCATGGCGGGCTGCCACAAGCATGCCGCAGCCCGCGCTGTTGGCCTGCCGCACGCGCGTGGTGACGCGCGCGTCCGACTTTACTGCGTCGGGCCAGAAAGTAAATGCTGGTCGGGTAGTTGCACTGGATTAGACGGTGTAGGATGATATTCAAAACTCATGCTCTTGGCGCTGTATGGAAGGAAGTTGGTTTTACCCCGTCGTCGTGAGGAGGTTATGTCGTCACTGACGTGTGTCACAACTTACTTGGTATATTATAACAGCTGCCTCCTACTGGAATACATATGAACCTGGACCTCTGACGTCATTTGCATTTCTTTCCCGTTCCGTAAGATATAGCCGGGAAAAACGCGTGCCACCGCGCAGTGCGTTTTTATCTGTTTAAGAAATGACACTCTAAAAGTGGGATTCTATCTTTCAACATAGGTAAACTATACAACAGATTAGCCCATAATGGGCTCCCCATACCCATTACGCCTATTGGGGAAAGCAAAATGCGTCCGGAATCAGGGCTCCTGCAGAAGACCCCGCTCTCGCCTGATCCAACTTTTTGTGTGCAACCAGTTTCAACGGTATAAGCGGATAGTGGCATGCCCAGTATTTCGCCAAAGAGGGGCTCTTTCAGCCAAGTGAGACCCACTTGGGTGTTGTGGGGCCCTGTTTGTTCGGGATAGCGAGTCACAGGATCCCAATTTGATGCCGCATGACTCGTTTTGTGTTTTACAAGCCCTTCAGGCAAACTGTCAAGAACAACTATGGCATTCAGTTCCGTGATGGGCAGTAACTTCCGGGGCTCCTGGCTCCATTCTTTATCCGCTTGTAAAAGTCACTGCTGGCGGGCCATGATTTTATCGCAGTGGGCCCGCGCGAATTTCAGCAAGATCGTGGACGTGGCCCAAAGCTACAACTTTTGAGTTCGGCGTCTAGATGGCAGCGCTGTAGTACGCTTGACGTAATAAATACTCCCAAAGAGCTGTAGACTACCTTGCATATCAAGGCACGTCTAAGCGGAAAAGGATCCATTGCCACCGAGATAATCAAGAATAACCTTACCAAAACAAACAATTCACTGCATCAACAACTTTTTCATATAGACGCATTTAATCGGTTATTGACGGATGTTTTGTCAGAAAATGCTCACAAATTGGTAATGGACCACGTAACTTCTTGCTCTCTAAAACTACACCTAGGAGCGCCGTTAATCGTCACAGACCCACAGGAATTTGTGTTTGATGACAAATTTTGGGGATGGGTGTGTGCGCCCCACTGCGGTGTTGTGCTGATGGCGGCCAAGAATGCTAGCATGATTGCGAGATAGTGTGAACGTTATCTGACCTGGAAAACTACCCATTATTTGAGACATGTTTCGCTGTATACCGCTGTTTAAGGGGTGTAATCGTCAAGTGGAGTGCATAGACAAGCGGCACTGCTCGCTCTCATGTGTACCAGACGACATAATCCGATATGCGCGCAGTTTGGAAGAGCTGCTTCTTGATGCAAACCACATTAAGGAACTCTCAAAGGTATGTATTATTCTAACAGAATGTATCTGTGTGCACACAACTTTGTTATGCTGTGACCATACTTCAATTTGACCTCCACTTTGATGCATGGAGTTGTAAAATATTTCAATTTGTGTTGCTTGCAGTTTCTTATTGCTTTTGGAACTTCATATAGACAGGATTTGGTTGAAACTCATGCAGTAATGTTAAGCAGAACTGCAGCTTCTACTCCACTTGATGCTGTGGGTCTCAGACCTAACATCATGTGTGGTAACTGTGGTCAAAGCACTAGACATGTTCCCCGTGTTTCAGAACTTCTTCCGGCTTTCCAAGTTGAGAAAGCTAGGTCTGAGTGACAATGAGATCCAAAAGCTGCCTCCTGATATTATGAACTTTGCACACCTGGCGGAACTGGATGTGTCAAGGAATGGTATGTACGTCTGTATGTTATTAGTGCATATGATATTTGTTAGTAAAGTGCTAGAATTTGGATGTGATAATTGAATGCTTATAATTTTGGCATTGCATCTTGTCCATCTGATTATTGTATGCCTTACTTATATAAAAGGAAAGTCAAGTCATGTCAGTCTAATCATGAAAATGAGTCAGGCAACTTTTACCAATGAGGTTCATTGTGCAGCACAATTATTGCTCTAATGAAATATCACTATATGATTTATGGTTGATTTGTCAATCAGCTATAGTTATGCTGCTTATCATATATACTGATACACAATGTGACACCTCATTAGGAGTGGCTGTCAGGTTTTAGAGGCATCGCTTACTGCATTTTGAAGTTTAGATCATACACTCCTTGTCCTTTGATTAGTGCTGTTGCTGTATGGTTGCTACAGTTTATTATCTACAGTACAGTTTGTTGCCTATGGTAAAGTTGTACTGTTTAAAAATGGTCAGTTGGAAAATGGATGGGAAATTATCCTTATATTGGTATTTGATTGTGGTTAGAAGAGCTTGGTCATGACACAAGGAGTCTTTCTGAGTCTTCTGATTCCTATGACCCTTCTTTATATTCTTTCATCTGGTTAGAGTGCCAATAGTAAAAGCAGGGATATCATTTAAACATTTATGTAGGTATTCATTATTGACTTTAATATTTATTACTGACCTTAGATCTGGGCTGAACTTAGAATCTAGAAGGTTTTGATGATTTATCGCTGGATGAAATCAGGAATACATCATAATTGGATGTGTGCAATTTGTGTGCTGCTGTTGAAGCTGTTGAGATGTCTCAATTTTGTGTAGTCTTGGCTGTTAAGTACTTTTTTAATGAGGGATTTTTGATGATAAAACTTTTTCATGTGATGTGATAAACTTGTATATTATTCAGAATGAGGCAACCTGATTGGGCAGAATTAGGGTCTTCATCACAGTCTCCCTTGTATGGGCTCAGATGCCAAAAAGCAGTGTGCTATCACATCACCCTTAACAACAAGGGCAGGGAAACACAAGGTTGCGAGCCACAGAGCCATCATCCTCCAGTATTTACCATTTACCACCATGTCTTCCTTTCAGATGTTCCTGATATTCCAGAGGAGATTGGGAACTGCAAATCACTCCAGGTTCTTGATGTCAGCAGCAACCCCATTACCAAGTCAGTGGTTTGGGGTGTGCACGCAGAGCCTTAACTGTTGAAAGTGTCCTTTGCCCTCCCCTGCCCCTCGTCAGGCTTTCGGTTTATGCAAGATGTCATGAAACAACTCATGAAAGATATTTGCCAGTGGCAAGTTAACCCTGAAGATTAAAAACAACTTTGGATCATCTGGGAAAATTGTGTTTCTCCTGGTACCTTGTGAAAGTAGATTCATGTCAGATTTGCAAAGACTCATGCTCAAACAGAATACTGTCATTCATGTGTGAATCCTTCTAGGTCTCTCTGTACTGAATGGTCTTCATTTGGCCTCACTGTTGTCATCTGTTGCATTGTACATTGCACTGTACATCATTCAGAACATTCATTATGCACAGCTCATCCGTGACACAGCCACCCGCCACTCAGTTGCCTGCTGCATAATGGAGACAGTACGCGGCCGCGGCCGTGAGCGCCGCCTTGTGCTGTCTGACAGTCACGCACCACCCCGCAGACTGCCACAGGGCCTGGTGCAGCTGCGCAACCTGACTGTGCTCGGCCTCAACGACATGTCGCTGACCTCGCTGCCGGCCGACTTTGGCAGGTATGGCCTGCCGGTCTGTGGCGTGCTCTGCGTCACCCCGACTGGAGTTCGATGTGATGTTGGTAGCTGCTGTGTGTGCTCGCAGGGTTTACTTTGATAGTGCAGTGTTGTTCTGTGGCTGAAACGAACGGTGTGGTGAAAAATGTGGTTCTGTGCATAAGGAAGAAATAGCTTTTCCTTTCACCTCATTGGCCAAAAATGAGTTTATCATGAAGTGGTGAGGTTATCTCTTTCCTCCACTGATCTGTGCTCGCCGATAGTGCCTGCGCTTCGCTCGTGCTAGGGATGATCTCAATTGATAAGATTGTGCACAGTGACGTGGCAGAAGAACTGGGGAGCGCCGGGCTCGGTATTGCTGGCCAGCCGTCGCCAGCTTTCCTAATTTTGCCGCGGTGTCAAGAAGAGGATAGTTTCCATACACTTGCCTGGAGATGCAACGGACCTTCGTAGACATTCGGTGTCACCCCACAGTTTCTGTACTGGAGTACATCGCCAGACACATAAAGCTGCTTTCGTTAGCGGCTCTGTACATGGTATTGATAGAAAATGTTTTTAAATGTGGGACTATGCAGATGAAGGGTACAGTGCGCCCGCAAGTTTTCCGCAAACTCCTGGCGGTCATGCCGTCGGCATGCGCGGCATGTGGTGACGCAACGGCCGCCACAGGCTGGTGAACCTGCAGTCGCTGGAGCTGCGGGAGAACCTGCTGAAGGCGCTGCCGGCGTCCGTGTCGCAGCTGCGCCGGCTGGAGCGGCTGGACATCGGCGACAACGAGATCGAGGAGCTGGTGAGTGGCGGCCGGACTGCTGGAGGTGGTGGGTGGGGCTTCGGGGCTGGGAAGGCAGGTCGGCGGACGCCGTCGAGATGGGTCAGCGCATGCTGGGACACGGCGATTTGGCCAGGTGTCATTTGATTGCAACAGCTGAAAGGAGGCCCCGTGTGAGAAATGAAATGCGTGTCGGGTTATACGCAGTGTCTGATGACTAGAAGCATGGCTGAACACTGATTTAGCACCCAGCTTGATCTTCATGTGCGCGTTTTCTCGCGCTTGCATGCATGATTTTCTCATCGGAGTATTGAGTGCATTTTTTGACGTGATAAGGTACTCGATCTTTTGCTGACCTTTTTCAAGGCCTTGATCGGAATTCCGTATGTGTTCACACAAATGTGTCACCACCACAAAAAGCGTAAGCTTTGTGTGGCAGTGACACGCAAATGACTGGTGGGCAACATGCAAATGCGACGGCGCAGACGGACCTGACCTGACCTGACCTGACCTAACCTGACCTCACATCACCTCACTGTTTCAGCAATCGACAATCGGTGAGCTGCCTTCGCTCAAGGAGCTCTGGCTGGACCACAATCAACTGACGCACCTGCCCTCGGTGAGTACCCGGGCTCCGTCCCCAGGTGCAGGCCGCTGGCCCCCTCGGTTGGTGCCCGGGCTCCGCCCCTCTGGCCGCCTGCCCTGATCTTGCCCGGCTGAGCGGGGGCGCTCAGCCTGGCGCGGCCGGTGTCGGACAGGCGGGCGGCAGCAGTGCGCAGTGCCGTGTTGAGGGCGGCGCCCTGCGACGAGCAGGTGTCGTAGGCGTTTTCTGCGCGTCCCGCTGCTGCCGTTGGTCCTCGGCCGCCGCGCCGGCCTGAGACCGGGTGTGCTTCCCTGATCGGGCGCTGACCTCTGACCGGGCGCCGACCTCTGACCGGGCGTGCTCGGCTCTTGTCGCCAGGAGATCGGGCAGCTTCACAACCTCAAGTGCCTGGACGTGTCGGAGAACCGGCTGGAAGACATCCCGGAGGAAGTCGGCGGCCTGTTCAGCCTGGAGGACCTCCACCTGTCGCAGAACTTCCTGGAGGCGCTGCCCGACGGCATCGGCAAGCTCGGCGAGCTGATGATCCTCAAGGTCGACCTCAACCGGTTGGCCGCCTGCAACCAGGCCGTCGGAAAGTGAGGCGCCGCCAGCGACTGGGGAGGGGGAAGCCTGGGGTATACGTGCCCGTGCGTAATTGGTTTAGGAAGCGAGTCACGCGACTCATTCGCTCGACTGTCCCGTGGGGTGCTGGTATGGCTCGGGGACTATGACCATATCACTGCTTGTTCTAAACTTGAGCTTTTCGAGGGCGTAAGGGCATGTGAATTGTGATTCCTGCAGCCTTACGTTTGTTTTATTGTAGCATCCAATGACGTTATCAACGTGGTAAGGCCTCTTAAGTCATGTTGGGGAGACGACAGCCCACTTGTCCGTATTGCCACTGTGATAACTACGAGCCGCTCATTGATTCCTTGATGTTGTCTGTGGGACCGCCAGAATAACAAATCAACGCCGTTCCTTTGTCATTGTCATGATTGGCTGTTGATACAGGCCTATTTGAAACCTACAGTCGTTCAGCGGGTGGCGTGTTTGACCTCGGCACCGGTTGGACGTATGTCGAGCAACAGCGGTCGTGGCCGTTCAGTTGTGCCGTTGCTGGTATGGTTCAAGCCATACCTGTGTCTCGCCGCACGCCGTGGCTCCATGTAGAATTTCCCGGGACTGGCAAATGGGCTGGTCGTGCTCTCGGGACGCTGGTGTTATCCTTCCGCAGTCATTTGATGGCGAACATGGTCTGTTTCTGTGTCTAACAGACCCGACGCGACAACCCACGGCGACCTGGCTTATACAGCGTTACTTGTCCGTCGGTTGCGAAACCTGAAAACATGTGTAGCGCCCTGTTCAAATCGGGCATATCCGGTTTGCGTTGGATTCGGCGCGACCGGGCCGCACGCGCTCCTGTGACGGCGGCGCCTCCGCCGCGACAGGTGCGTCAGCCTGCAGGAGCTGATTCTGACCGAGAACTTCATCACCGAACTGCCCGAGTCGATCGGCAACCTGGCGCACCTGACCAACCTGAACGTGGACAGGAACCGGCTGCAACACCTGCCCGAGCAGATCGGTGAGACGGCGGCGACGGGCCGGCCGGCAGGGCCGGCGTCTCCGGAGGCGGAGGTGCCAGGCTTCCCCAGAGCGTCGGCGCCCGGATGGGCTGCGCTGGCGCGCCACTGGGCCGTCGGCGAGGGCACGTGACGCCGTCTGAGCTGGCGGAATTGCCGGGCTGAAGCGTGACACCGAAACGGGTTGTGGTGTGATGGCGAGGTACGCCGAGAGCTCTAATATTTGCAGAAAATGCATTGGCTGCTCAGAGCAGAGACCGGTCTGTGCTGGGATCAATCGGTGTGCGAGTCGCCGACGCCGCCGTGAACGGCGACTCCGCCGCCCTGACCTGACAGTGCGCCGACGACCGGCAGGCAACCTCTGCGAACTGGGCGTCCTCTCGCTGCGCTGTAACCAGCTGCAGTTCCTGCCCGCCTCGCTGGGCAGCTGCTCGGCACTGCACGTGCTGGACGTGTCGGGGAACAGGTGAGCAGGAGGCTGCCGTCGACGGGCGCGTCCCTCCTGTTCCGTGTCGTTCCCCTGTGATGCTGCCGTGGTGCGTGTGCTGTGGACGGTGTGCCGTGGTGTCGAGGCTGTCCGGTTATTGCTCCGGATCTGTATGTCACCAGTTACTGTTGCTGACAGCAGCTGAGCCAGCCTGACCAGCGCTCCGTCTCCGACCGTCGTCTTAGCCGGTCCGGCTGGAGACGCGGCCTCTGACGCGCGTGCCCCTCCCCCGCCTTACCCCTGCAGGCTGCAGTACCTGCCCATCACGCTGCAGAACCTCAGCCTGAAGGCCGTCTGGCTGTCGGAGAACCAGGGCAAGCCGATGCTCAAGTTCCAGACGGACGTGGACGAGCGCACGGGCGAGGAGGTGCTCACCTGCTTCCTGCTGCCCCAGCTGGACGACGCGGAGGAGCGCGGTATGTGGTGCTGCAGCGGCGAGGGAGCGCGGTATGTGGCGCGGCGGCGGCGAGGGAGCGCGGTATGTGGCGCCGCAGCGGCGCGGGAGCGCGGTATGTGGTGCTGCAGCGGCGAGGGAGCGCGGTATGTGGTGCCGCGGCGGCGCGAGAGCGCGGGCGGTGGGACGTCGGGCCTGTGCGTAGCAGATCCAAGGCCTGGAGGCCCCTACTGTGGCAAGGCTGCTGGACTCTGTTATGAGCGTTAAGTCGCTGTGCTCGATGAGGAGTTCCGCTACAACGCTGTATGGGCATTGCAGAGAAATGAGAAAGGCTTTTGTGGCCGGACCGCTGTCGCTACGGCCTGGCCCAGAATCCAGCCTTACACTCCGCGGAGGCTACACAATCAGTCTATTGGCGTGATCAATACCAGACAATTAGTGCCTTGAATGGCCGCGGCATGCATACGCACCTTATGTGACGTGTGCGATGTGTGCTTCTCCCATAACAACAATGAAGCTGAGCATTACAGCGTGAGATCGACCAGCCTGATTTGAACTGGTGCTACCATGGTGTCGGTCGCGTAGAGTTGGGAGTGCTGACTGATGCCAGTGGCGCCGTCTGTCGGCAGAGTACACCAACGGCCGGCTGTACCGCTCGTCGTGCGACGACCTGTCGACGGACGCCGGCAGCGACCACGAGTGGGAGGAGGACGCCAACCGGGCGGCCGTCGTCAAGTTCCACGGACAGGACGCCGGCGACGAGGAGGACCTGGACAGAGAGGTGGGAGGAGCGGCCGGGAGGGGGCAGAGAGGTGGTAGGAGCGGCTGTGAGGGCAAATAGAGGTGGGAGGAGCGGCCGTGAGAGCAAAGAGAGGTGGGAGGAGCGGCGGGGAGGGGGCAGAGGGGTGGGAGGAACGTCCGTTAGAGGAAGTGAGACGGGAGGACCGACTGTGAGGGAAAGAGAGGCGGTAGGAGCGATAGAGAGCTAGAGAGGTGCTAAGGTGAATAACCTGGAGGGCTAACACCAGGGACGAGGCGAGCAGGGAGGTATGAAAGTGTGGAGGAGTAAAATGATCCTGGCAGAGTTGAGTGAGGATCCCAGAGGTGGGCGAGGGAACCAGGGATGGTGTGACGAAGCGTCGCGTGACGGCACGCGCCGTCGTCTGCTCTGGGTGATGCCACATGCGCGCCGTGCTGTCTTAGCGAGAGCCGGGTGCCGGGTTTCAGAGCCACTTTGTCCGCCACAACACGCCACACCCGCGGGACCTGAAGGCCAAGGCGAACAAGCTGTTCGGCAAGGGCAGGAACGTGGACGGCACGCCGATGAAGACGGGCGAGGTGAGCCCGGCAGCGCTCCCGCTCTGTCGCCCGTTGTTGACGTTGTCCCGTCTGCTGCCTTGGTATCTGGCGGAGGCCACTGTCTCCACCCGATGAACACTGCGATACGTGCGGCCAGTGTGAGCTGGTATCGGCTCGAGTGGGCTGATAGCGTGGGATATCAGACGGCCGACCCCAGTCGCACCGTCAGCCGCAAACACGGCTCAGTGGCCGTCTGCAAGCCGTTCGTCGTCGCAGTGCTGACGCGCGGCCTCGGAGCAGCGCGCGTGTTTAGCGTGATCGGCCGGCCTGGCGGCGACTGACGCAGCGGCCGTCAGCCGCGGCGCTGCCCCGCCCCAGGCGCCTCTCCGCGGTCGGCTGCCCGCCGCCGGCTCCTGCCACGCCGAGCGGTGCCGCTCCGTCTGACGGCCGCCACCCGCCCTCCAGGAGCACCCGCTGTCGTTTCGGCCGGGCCGCGCCAGCCCGCCCCCGGACACCAACGGCGGCCGCTTCAACCCCAACTTCCGGCGTGACCTGCCGCGCTCCAGCGACCTGCGGCTGGTCGACCCGGGCACGGGTCAGGTCACGGAGCAGCTGGCCAGCCCGCAGCACGACGAGGCGCCCAGCATGAGCCTGTCCAGCAGCGCCGCAGGTCAGGCGCCGCAGACACGGCCGGCAGATACCGGTCGGGCCGAGCCGGAGCCGGAAAGCAGGGGAACGATTGCCAACAAACGTCACTGCTGTGCTGCGAGCGGCTTGTTTGATGTGTTGCAGGCAGTGGCGCGGTTGTTTGGTTGTCACCCACTCTGGTGCCATAGCAAAACACTGCCATGGTAGAGCGTCGACTCCTGAAGCGATTGCAGATTGGGTTAATCTCCTTGCACATACACGCCTTTTTAAATGCTGCAGCTTATCTCAGTTTCCTCGGCCGTGTTTGGTTTGGATTTGTGAGTGCATGTGCCCTCGGCCCTGGTGGCTGTCGTGCGCGACTGACGCCGCCCGCCGTGTCCGCCAGAGGAGCCGCCGCCGCCCATCACTGAGCTGGAGCGGGAGCCGGCGGTGGAGGCGCCGGCCGCGGTGCCGGAGCCCGAGCCAGAGCCGGAACCGGAACCGGACCCGGACCCGGAGCCGGCCGACGCCGCCGACGGCGGGCCGCGCCGCGTCGGCTTCAGCGTGCAGGCCGGCGAGGATGAGTCGGAGCCACCGCCCGGCGAGCGGCCCAACCGGCTGCACCGGCGCGACACGCCCCATCACCTCAAGAACAAGCGTATCAGCGACAAGGTGACGCGGCCAGCGGGTGGAGCGGCGCCAACAGATCAGGGGTCAGGGGCGGGCTCGAGTGCGGAGAGATCCGGGTCTTGGTGATTTAGCCAGTCATTTATTTTTGAGGAAGGTGGTGCACTTGGCTTGAAGCGCCCTGGCTCTGCGGGTATTGTTTGGCGCGGGCCGTGCGAGCGGCGTTCCAGACGGTGCTGTTCGGTCTCCCGGCGCCCCAGCCCGGCGCGCTCACGCCCCTCCCTCCCTCCGTGGCCGCAGGTGGACCAGGACCAGGTGGCGTCCATCATCGCGCAGGCGCTGCAGCGGCGCGACGGCGACGGCGACGCGCCGCTGCCGACGCCGCCGCCGACGCCGGCGGCGCTGCGCTCGGAGCGGCCTGACCAGCCGGACAGCGAGCCGACCGTGCGGGTCGTGCAGGAGCCACACGACATCACCGTCCAGGTGGGCGGCGCGGCCGGGCTCGCCGGTCCGGCCGCAGCTGGCCGCCGGGGTGGGGTCTGGTCCCAGGTGACCTGAGCGCTGTCACTCGCGGTCAAGGTTCGAGGAAAGGTCAAGGCTGTCTCCGTGGCTCAGGTGCTAGGGCACTGGACGCATGGCCGCTGTTGGGTAGACGTACGCTCAATGCGCTCCCTAAAAACCGCGCTAGTAGGACTCGCCAGTGGCGGCCCTTGCTAACTCGCCAAGGAGATAGGGCGAGTGAAGGCGGCAGCGTCGCGAAACGGAACAGATCAGTAAGAATGATGGCACAAACTGCGCATTATGCTTAGTTTAATGTACCACAAGGATGAACCCCTTCAGACAGTAATGACTCTGATCCCATGGCCATGGTCGCAAAACATGGATCAAACGTAAAAAGAAGCTGTACCTCCGTCACAGTGATATATCAGAAAACTGCATCGGTGCGGTATTAGCCTCGGTCTGGTAACGGCGAGTGAGGCGGCGACGCCCGGCACTGTCATGCGTACCTGTCGGCTGATGTCGGCGCGTCTGTGTGGATGCATTGTGTGTGATTAGCGGGGCTGGGCCGCTGTGTAGTGAGTGCGCGCGCGCCAGCCGCTGCTGACGGCCGTCCGCCGTGCCCAGCGCGCCGCCTCCGGCCTCGGCCTGAGCATCGCCGGCGGCAAGGGCTCGACGCCGTTCCGCGGCGACGACGAGGACGTGTTCATCTCCAAGGTGCTGGACGGCGGGCCGGCCGACCTGGCCGGGCTGAGGGAGTGGCGGCCGAGAGGCGCTCGCGGTGCCGGTCCGCGGGCCGAGGAGGCGCTCGCGGTGCCGGTCCGCGCCGGTCGCTATCGCCCGGCTGTCCGCCATGCGGGCGGCCCACAGCCTGCGGACTGCCGTAGACGTGCCGTTCAGGAGTGTCACACGAGTGCGCGTGAAAGTGCATTGAATGTGCTTTCACTAACTGGAGCAATGGCTGTTCGCGGTCCGTTGCGAAACTAGACAGTGGTTTATCACGCTTACCAGTTGCTGCCAGCGTCACCCATGAGTAGCTATCTCGACTTCATCTCCAGGCGCGGTCGCTGACTAGACGTGTTGTCTCGTTCCCTCTGAAGTCTCGTTCCCTCGTTCCCACGCTAGCTCCTCCCAGCGGAACCCAGCTGCCCAGGGACGTGCCGACGGGGCGTCGCCCTGCTCCTGTCCTCGTCCGCGACCACCTCAGTCGACCATCGTCCTGCCCTGCCCTGCCCTGCCCTGCTTTGCTCCACCCAGCGGAACCCAGCCGCCCAGGGACGTGCCGACGGGGCGTTGCCCTTCTCCTGTCCTCGTCCGTGGCCGCCTCAGCCGACCATCGCCCTGCCCTGCCCTGCCCTGCCCTGCCCTGCCCTGCCCTGCCCTGCCCTGCCCTGCTCTGACCGCCTCCCTGTCGCTGTCCAGGTGGGTGACAAGCTGACGTCGGTGAACGGCGTGCCGGTGCTGGGCGCCGACCACTACGAGGTGGTGGGCATCCTGAAGGCGGCCGGTGACGCGCTGCACCTGTCCGTGGTGCGTGAGGTGACGCGGCTAGTGCCGCCGCCGCCGCCGCCGGCCGCGCCCAACGGTGGCCCGGCCGTGCTGCCCGCCGACGCCGTCCGCAACGAGCACGTTGCTCCAGCGACTGGAGACGCAGCAGCGGCTG